CGAGCGCTTCACGGAGGACCTCAAGATTGTGAAGAACGAGGCGGACTTCCTCGACAGGGAGGACTTTCTGAACGAGCATTTGCGCCACGACTGCAGCAAGTCGGTCGGCCGCTGTCTGAAAGAGGTGACAGACAGGGAGGGCAACGTGAGGAAGATCTGTCGGCGAACACCCAATCGAGTGACGAACACACACCTTTACGAGCGAGCGCAGTCCAACCACTCAGCCAAGGTCCTGCGGATCCTCGAGAAGTGGGGGCTGACCGAAGAGTCGGAGGACCGCATCGCATGTGTGGCCGGGCTGGACGGGAGGAGCCCGACGCCAAACGGCGAGGACTATCCGCTGCTGCGCCCGGTTGTCGAGCTGGAGGGGGGCCGGCACTACCCTCCCTGTATGAAGGGCGATGAGATGATGTCTCAGTTCATTCCCGACATGGCCTTCCTCCTGTGCTGCTCGGTCAACGTCCAGATCGTCTACTACCAGTGGGTGAAGGCCTATCTCGAAAAGTGAGGCGGCGAGCAGCTGACGACACATCTCATCTCATGCATGTTTCTGTGACGGCGGTTGATGAACGTCCTGCTTGCTGCTTGTCTTGCTTGAATGTTAGCAGGTATGTGGCGGGTGCCGAGGAGAAGGCGATGGCCAGCCTGAGGATGGCTCGTGAGTCCGACAGGAACGCGCTCACCGACGTTCGCATCAACAGCTACGGCATCCAGAACACGAAGATCGGCGGCGTGCAGGCGCGTGCGCGTCAGGCGCAGGATCAGGGAGGCCCGGCAGCAGCAGCTGCTGCTGATGGTGATAGGCAGCCACCACACGGACCACAGGACGGCACATCGGCACCACCTGACAGCGACAGCAAGAAGAAAGGGAGGCGTCGGGACACGCGTCACCGGCAGGCGCTGCGGATCTCCTATACCGAGATGCTGTGGCAGCTGCACGACTTTCCCTATGTGACCTCTTCGGTCGACTGCATCCATGTCGCATCCCTGCCTCCGGAGCTGAGGTGCGGCTGGAAGGCCTAGAATCTCGGCCTCTCGGTGGACAGCGTTCAGAACGCGCCGCCACAGCCTCACCCGGGCAACCCGCAAGGCTTCCGTTCGGGCACGCAGGCGGTGCCAGTAGAGGCGAGGCGGAGGGTTCTTCCCAACGCATTATGGCGGCAGTTCACAGAGGGTCAGCACAGGGTTATTAATGATCTGTTTGTGACGAGGAAGCCCTTGGACAAGGTCAGCGTCTTCGGCATCCACCGC